CTTTCAGGTGGGAGTTCCCACAAGGGCTCTCTTTTAACTACACAGGAAAGAAAGTCAAAATAAAAACAGTTCAAGATAAAGAATTCTTCTTGGAAAAAAACTTGGAGGACCTACAGAAAGGAACAGTAGATACAACAGCAGAGAAAGAACCGACTGATATAGCAAATCTTTCATTTGGACTTTTACTACCATCGGAGGAGGAACAGAAACTTGGAGCAGTTGGAGGAGTAGGTACATAGTATCAAAATGTCTCTGCAACTTCTTAGCTGGAATTGTAATGGACTTAACCTCCCCAGGAAGAGACGCCAAGTCTTTCACATTTTGAAAAGAGAGCAATTGGACTTAATCTGTTTGCAAGAAACCCATGTGACTAGGATACATAGAAAACTACTGATAAACAAAAGGCTTGGACAAGAATTTATCTCATCAGACAAAGTTAAAAAAAGAGGTGTTGTGATTTATGCAAAGGAAAAATTGGCCCCTAAAATGATCTTTAAAGATGAACAAGGAAGATACCTGGCGATAGAAATACAACTTCAAGGAGAAAAAATTATAATATTAGGAATATATGCACCAAATGAGGGGAAGGCGGAATTCTTTAGGAAGTTGCATGAGACTTTAATGGACTATCTGGACTTCAAAATCATAATGATGGGAGACATGAATGGTGTTGTCTCCACTAACATGGACAAGGCGCAGAGACAGACAATCTCCAACGATGGAAGACTTCCAAAGACTTTTTTTGAAATGACTGAAACACTGGACTTGATTGATATTTGGAGAGTAAGGAACCCTCTAGAAAGAGAGGGAACTTTCTTCTCTGAAGCAAAAATGACCTGGACACGGATTGACCAAATTTGGGTAACTAGTTCTATGGCACCTAAGATAAAAAAAGCAGAAATCTGCCCAAAAACTTGCTCCGACCATAACGCAGTGAAGATAGAGATGAAACTAACAACAACTGGAACCTTCAGATGGAGGATGAATGACGCCCTATTTAGAGATGAAGAGATTTACAAAAAGGCCCAAAAAGCAGTGAAAGATTACTTTGAGATAAATTTGAGAACTGATGTGGAAAAAAGAACAATTTGGGACGCAAGTAAGGCCGTGATGCGAGGTTTCCTAATACAACAAAACTCCATAAAGAGGAAAAAACAGAATGAGAGAAAAGAAAAACTTCTGGAGAAGATAAAAGAAGCTGAAAAGAAATTGAGGTCTAAACCAAAGTCTCATGAGATTCTAAGAGAAATAAAGTATTATCAGACACAATACATGGAACTGACGAACCAAGAGATAGAATGGAAGATAAACCAAATGAGACAAAGAACATTTGAATCAGCAGACAAATGTGGGAAACTTCTGTCATGGCAACTGAAAAAGAGACAAAAATTGAACACTGTGACAAGTTTGGAAATGGAAGGAAAAATTATCCACAAACCAAATGAGATAAATAATTGCTTCCAAAGCTTTTTCAAGAAATTATATGCACAGGGGCCGGCAAATGAGCAGGAAATAGAAGAATTTATTAAAAAGCACGGATTACCAAAGATTTCAGAACAAAGTAAAAGGATTTTGAATGAAAAAATAACAGGACAAGAAATAGAGGACGCCATTCAGAAGATGAAATTGGGAAAATCTCCAGGCCCAGATGGTTTGACTGCCAGATACTATAAGGCATTGAAGGAATGGATAATACAACCATTGAAGGATGTCTGTAATGAAATTTTGGAAGGGAAAAAGGCACCTGAATCGTGGAAAGAAGCTTTTATTTCACTTATACCGAAAACAGAGACTGAAAAGAATCAGGTTAAAAACTACCGCCCTATATCATTACTCAATGTGGATTATAAAATTTTTGCAGACATTTTAGCAAAGAGATTAAAGAGAGTTTTGGTACAGGAGATTCATAAGGACCAAACAGGCTTTCTCCCAGGGAGACATATGTCAGACAATGTAAGGAACATTATAGACATCTTAGAGTTGTTGGAAGTAAAGATTAACAGAAAAGCAGTTATAATTTTTGTAGACGCGGAGAAAGCCTTTGACAACATTTCTTGGACCTTTATGAAGAAGAATCTCCAAGGGATGGGGGTAGGCCAAAGTTTTGAAAACGGTATAGGTGCTATATACTCTAAGCAAAAAGCAAAGTTGATTGTTAACAATGTGGTAACGGAAGAGATTCCTATAGAAAAAGGTACACGACAGGGATGCCCACTATCACCCTTACTTTTTATAACAGTCCTGGAGGTTTTGCTGAATAGGATTAGAGGGGACCAATTGATTAAAGGTGTCCAGCTCGGAGCAAAAGACTATAAGTTAAGGGCATTCGCAGACGATCTGGTATTGACTTTGCAAGAGCCAGAGACTAGTACCAAAAGAGTTCTAGAATTAATTGAGAAATTTGGTCAAGTAGCAGGATTTAAATTGAACATGCAAAAAACTAAGGTTTTGGAGAAAAATCTAACAATGGCAGAAAAAGAGAAGTTTCAGAACGAAACAGGTTTAACAATAACAAAAAAGGTGAAATATCTGGGGGTAAATTTGACTTCTAAAAATTTAAATCTATTTAAAGACAATTATGAAAAATGTTGGTCAGAGGTGAAGAAAGACCTAGAAATATGGTCAAGGTTGAAACTTTCCTTGTTAGGCCGAATTGCTGTCATCAAGATGAATGTATTGCCTAGAATGTTGTTTTTGTTCCAGACACTCCAGATCTTGGACAAGATGGACTGTTTCAAGAGGTGGCAAAAAGACATATCAAAATTTGTCTGGCAGGGCAAAAAGCCCAGAATAAAATTTAAAATCTTAACTGATGCAAAAGACAGAGGGGGTTTTGCCCTGCCGGACCTGAGACTATATTATGAATCGGCAGCTTTTTGCTGGCTGAAACAATGGCTACTTCTTGAGAATACAGACATTTTGGATCTGGAAGGTTATGACAATAGATTTGGTTGGCATGCATATATATGGTATGACAAGGTAAAATTGCATAAAGGCTTTAAAAACCATATTGTGAGGAAAGCGCTGTATAATGTCTGGATAAGATACAAAGATTTGTTGGAAAGTAAAACCCCCAGGTGGTTATCACCAATGGAGGCCAAAGAGACAAAAAAACTAAATATGGAGTCCAAATGGCCAAAATATTGTGAAATTATAGAACAAGATGGTGAAAGAGTTAAATTGCAGAGTTTTGATAAATTAAAGTCTAAGATACGAGACTGGTTGCACTACCGTCAGATAAATGAGGTATTTAAACAGGACAGGAAAATAGGTTTCCAGATGGAGAGGTCGAAACTAGAAACAGAACTGTTAGAACCCAATACTAAGAACTTGTCGAGAATGTATAATTTGCTGCTGAAGTGGAATACACAAGATGAAGTAGTAAAATCAGCCATGATCAAATGGGCACAAGACATAGGTCATGACATAATGTTTGATGACTGGGAACAGTTATGGAATACAGGTATTAAGTTTACAGCTTGTAATGCATTAAGAGAGAATATAATGAAAATGATCTATAGGTGGTACATGACCCCAGTCAAACTTGCAAAAATTTACCATCTGCCCAGTAATAAATGTTGGAAATGTAATGAGATTGAAGGTACCTTTTATCACCTTTGGTGGACCTGCCCGAAGGTAAAGGCCTACTGGGAAATGATCTATAATGAAATTAAAAAGGTCCTTAAATGGACATTTTTGAAAAAGCCAGAGGCCTTTCTCTTGGGTATGGTGGGCCAATTGGTGCCAAGGAAGGACAAAAACTTTTTTATGTATGCTACCACAGCGGCGAGAATTCTTCTGGCAAAGTATTGGAAGACGCAGCAGCTACCTACTCTGGAAGAATGGCAAGCGAAGGTGACTGAGTATATGGGTATGGCAGAGATGACCGGCAGAATCCGCGACCAGGGGAGAGAAACGGTGGAAGAAGACTGGAAGAAATTTAAAAAATATCTTAAAGACTGTTGTAAAATTGATGATGGCTGAGATGTCATGGTTATAAGAAATAGAGAATTGCAGCTGTAAATCTTAATTTTAGGAAAAATGTATAATGAATATGACTGAACAAATTGAAACGAAGGGTTGCTGAGAAAAGGTTAATATAAGGATGCAGAAAAAGGGAGGTATGGGGAAGTCCGGGAAAGAAGGTTTATGAAAATAAGTTTAAGAAATTATACATGTTTATTTGTTTGTATGTCTTGTATGATTTTGTTTTGTTATTTGTTTTATTATATGTTTGGAAAATTAATAAAAATTATTTTAAAAAAAAATAAAAAAAAAATAGAATCATGTTTTGATACTTGTAAAATCAGTGTTTGGGTTGGCTTTTAAAAAGAATGAGAACTTATGAGTTTAAGAGTGCTGCAAAAAGAAATAAGAGAAGGCAAGGTTATCTGAAGTGGCAACTCTTGCTTGAGCAGCAATCTGTTTCTCCCTAAAACGAAGCACTTGTGTTCAGTTACCAAAAACAAACACTAGTCCTATATTCCCCAAAAACCTTAGAAGTGTACTTACTCAAAAATATTCAAACAGTTTTGAGCAGGACCAATGTTAAAAAAAAGATTAGCTATTTAAATAATTCCTTGGGGAAACAAATGCATATTTTTTTTCATAATACAGGGGCCTAATCACAATCATTCTTAATAATTTCAACCCAAGTCTCAAACATTCAGAATGCAGATAGACTTATGGTGTGTCAGAGCAGGACCAGGAGGAGCGATTTTTTGATTTATTAACCTAAAGTTTTGGCACACTGTAGTGTAATAAAGAGCACTGCTTAAAAGTTAAACCTGAAATGGGGCTGTAGTAACAGCCTGGTCATAAAGCTAAAGGTTCTGGCACAATTAATGGAAGAATGTGAGAAGTCTCCAATAAGATCACAAAAATCTCCAAGCAATGTAAGTAGTGGAAGGGTATCCAATGTGTAACTGCCATTATTACTATGACGTAGAATTAAACTGAGAATGCCTGAGGAATAATTCCACCCAAGCACATTCATCAAAGTTAGGCTGACAGTCTTCAAGAACAAAAAAACAAAACAAAACAGACTAGTACATGGGAAATTACACTTATGCAAGTTACCTCTATCTATCTATATGCTGGTTCACACATAAAAAATCACCATTGATGACATGCACATATATAATATAAAAACAGATCACTAAAGGCACAACTTTCTTCAACCAAGTCTAACGCAAAACTTTTCAGTGGCGTTTGTTCACCCCATCAGGTTCACACATGCATGCATAACATCTTTATTCTGAAAAACTTGGCAGAGTCACAAGAAACGATGAGAATTGAAAGACAGCATATTTGCTATGCTTGATCTTTTAGCCAACCTTTTCGAGCCTCTCTGTAATCACCAGGTTAGCAAAACATTAATATTGGGTGTTAAAAATGCTGTTTAAAAATGAAGATTCTAACCCCTAACAGTGCAGTAAAAGCTCTATGAGGCAATTCCAGCAAGTTAAGCTTCACAAAGCATGCCATGTTATGGAATTTTCAACATATTTTTGTTAAGTGATGAATGCTTTCCATTTCCTAAGACTTCATTTCGTATTACGTTCAAGAAACAAGGCCTCCAACATCTAGGGCTTACTTACATTTCCGAGGTGGTGGGTGTGTTCATATTCCATGTGTGCTCTGGACAGGGAGTTAGTGTGCCTTGGATAAACAACAGTTCCTCCATTTACAGCACCATTCATGATTCCATTCGTTCCATTAGGAACCTTGTGATGGAGATGAAGGCAACCATTATTATGGTTTCCATTACTGATAAAGTTTCCATGTATGCTGCCATTGATACGACTTGTGCCTGGTAATGTCGTGTACTCAACCATTTGCCCATTGATATCAGCACGTTGGTAAAGGTAACCAGGAGGGTCATACTCTGAAAGAGTGAGGATTGGGAGAAAATGCTTAACACTTCAACGCTTACACATGTTTTTTATCTGAAAAGGTTACAGATGAAAACGTTTTATAGCTGGCTGTTCACGGTAGAGTTTACACCCCTAGCACTACAATGCCTTAAGCCCTTTACAAATTATAAAACATGTTACAATCTGACGAACAGAGTTTAGATAGCAGGTGACCACCACTGATAATTAAGGGGCTAACACAGATTACATGTTTTGCATATTTACCACTGTTTGGGGAATCTGACAGCTTTTGTGGCATAAACACACTTATTTTATTGCACCAGCACTATTCTTAACAATGCAATATAGATTGTTCTGTCAGATCTACAGTTATAAGAGCCAAGTAAAATTGCTATTATTATTATATTTATTTATATCCCACATTTCCCCCAGACCAAAACACAATTGCTATACCTTATGAACATTTAGAACACCAAAAATGTAGGAACAGGAAGCATGTCCTTTTCCCAGCAGAAGATTTCAAAGAAGAGTGTAACTATGTATATTGGCCAATAACGACAGTATATCTACCAATATCCTCTGAAAGTGAAAATATAAAGTTCTCCTAGAATACATTTCTATTGCTAAATTGGAGTGGAAAGTGAAGGCACAGAGTTAGGCTCTAATCTCTATGTTTCATAAGAAGAATAAAGCACTTTTTCAAATTTGTTCCCCTCCGTTATTCAGCGGTGATCATAACAGCAACTTAAATTCACAATAAATGTTGTGGTGTTAGGTTACTTAGCAACAATATTGTTTCATTAAGTTTGGTCCAGCAGAGGACATGAAGAATATCAGAATTAACCTACTCTGCATGGCAATTTGCTGGCGATTCTTCCACAAGCACATAGCAATGAAGGCTATCAGAATGAGCACCATCACTCCAAGGACACAGCCCACAATCAGGTATAACATGTCACTGCTTCGGACAGGACCATTTGGTTGACCAGCATTACTCCCAACTCCACGATCAGGAGAATTTGGTGGTGTGCTAAGGTCCTTCACTGGGTATTCTGATGCTCCAGGTGTGCGCTTCACTAATGTGGAGGGAGCAGAGTATAAGATAAAACACACATTTAAAATAGCAAGTCTACAGAAGTGTTATTAATTCTATAAGTCAATCAAGAGCTGCAACTACTGCAATTCAAAATGGCATAAAATATGATGGTAGAACATTTTTGATCATAAGTTACTTGATAATATGTATTTGTTTTGGAATTTGTTTACCCTCAAGTCCACACGTGCCACTGCTTTAGCTTCTTTCACACTTTCACACATAGGAATAATGAACATTACCAGAATGTAAAGGGCATGTAAAGTAGTTGACAAAAAAAGATAATGGGCCCATTTTTGTTGTCAAATATCAATGCTTATGGATGGTTTGAAATGAAAACACACCAATATATTCTGGGACAGGTGTGCGTAAAATTTATTAAAGATCCTTCTTCTACCCTTACTAGTATCCCAAAAATTTATATTTTAAAACTGATCATAGTTTCAAACATAAGTTTGCTTTAAAAGAAATAAATTATTTATTGAACAAGGGTATTGGGTAGCTGATGATAAATCCTACGTGTCTTTCTGAACCCAGAAACTGAAGCCGTCTTTTTGTTTACAGCAATAACAAGCAAGAGCATTAGCTTGAGATAAAGTATGGGATAGCACAGTTTTATGCATTGAATGAGAAGTTCTCTCAAGCACGGAGGTTTGGTTTTGATGGTAGCATGTGATTTCTAAAAGCCCATATTGGATTACATATAGTGTGCTGAAATGGAATATTTATTTTCATGAAGTCAAGAAACTAACTAAAACATCTGAAATATTGTGAAAAATATTTGAAAAGAAATGAATTCTTACATAAGTATGAAGATTAAAGGTAAAGGTAAAGGTACCCCTGACCGTTAGGTCCAGTCGCGGATGACTCGGGTTGCACGCGCATCTCGCTCTATAGGCCTAGGGAACCGGTGTTTGTCCGCAGACAGCTTCCGGGTCATGTGGCCAGCATAACTAAGCTGCTTCTGGCGAACCAGAGCAGCGCATGGAAACGCCATTTACCTTCCTGCCAGAGCGGTACCTATTTATCTACTTGCACGTTGACGTGCTTCCAAACTGCTAGTTGAGGGGGGGGGGGAGCTGGAACCGAACAATGGGAGCTTACCCCATTGCAGGGATTCGAACCACTGACCTTCTGATCGGCAAGCCCTAGGCTCTGTGGTTTGGACCACAGTGCCACCCGGGTCCCAAGTATGTAGATTAGGGAACAGCAAATATATGGCTATTGGCTTAGTGACAGAAGAAAAATAACAGCTCCTTCTCACCTTTGGTCTCACAGATCATCACATTGCTGTAGTCACTTTCACCTCCTTCATTGTAGCACTGCATTTTAATATCATAAGATGTTTCAGGTTGCAGGTGACTTATCAAGTGCCACTGCTTTGTGCCTAGAAAGAAAAACATATAGACATGTAGCATGTTTGTTTCACAATTTGGAAAATATAAACTGAGCTAAAAAATGTAGGAACTGTCCTTACAGTTTGAGGACAACAGGTAAAAAATAAATGACCCATTGCAATTAAGAGCTAAGATAGCAGGCCAAAATCAGTCTTACATACACAAATATGCATATAAGAAGAATGTAATTTACTATTAATAAAATGTCTACAACCTTCCTGAACATGTTTGTCTCAAAGATGGAATGTAGCATCTATTTAACATAAAACCCTAAGGGCAAAGTCTGAATCAGACATGTAAATAAAACTGCAATAAGAAATATTTGGCAGAAAGTGGTTGTTTTAAACTTTGGAAGTTGGCCAATACACAGCAGTATGCATGGACAGCTATGGATCACAACATGATATGATCATAGAATGTCTTTCTTAAAGAGACTCATCTAGCCCCATTGTTGATGACCTTCCACCATGCTATTAAGATCTGACTTAAAAAATAAATAAAAATAAAGAATGCAATAGGAGCCTGGTAGAAAGAGACACTGTACTTTTGACTGTAGGTCTTGCTGTTGATACAACTAATCACAATATGATACAAAGAGTAGCATGAATCACCTCCACCTTTGTTATAGCTTAAGCAAGACTAACACCATCTTGTTGCAGGCTGACACCATAATCATGTATTCTCATTGTAATCATGCTGACATGCAAGCTTAAGAGAGGAACAGAGAAAAAGCAAACCATAAGAGGGTGTGTAAAGGGAAGTTTTAGGAGCATGCTAGGCCATGACATTTAAATGGAATAAACAGAAAAATGCCTAGCTAGCTGAAATGTGGAAGCATCTGTCTATGCAGTTAAACTGGCGCTATCACACGCAAGATTGTATTACTGGGAGTCTTGCATGTCTAACCTATATGTATAAAAACTGTGTGCAAACAGAGATAAGGGTTCAGCCTCTGATCACTTTTCTGATCACTCGCTGTTACCGTTCCTGTCTTTTTAAAGGCAGAAAAGTGAAGACATCACAAAAAGACTTGAAGCCACTCAATTCTATACTTAAGTCTAAGAACGTACTCCAGAGAACCTGAGGAAAGCGTAAGTAGTTTACTAACAGCATGACTAGCACAAGCTGCAGACAATTTTTATGTACTATGAAAATATATGAAGTAAGAAGGCCTTTGATATTCAGCATTGGAAATTCTAATCCAAACAAGTTCATTTAAGAGAATGGTTTTACTGTGTCTGGCTGAAAGTCAATTTTTCGTTTAGACACCACCTGGTGTTTTCTCTGTACTCATAAATCACTTTCAGTCTGTATGCTCACCCTTATGACAAGTTTTAATAAAGAGGAACCCACTATATTATAATTAAGATGGTTTAGATACGCCTAATGCTTCTTAAATGTCGACATCGTGGTCTATTTCTGCTGGAACTACTTCCACCTAGAACACAGACAGATCTATAAGCTACAGCCTTCACAGGGAAGAATAGTATCAAGATGCTACTGTATTTCAACAGCACCCAAGTAGGGGTGCTATTTACACAATAACCCATTGCTCTTCTTTGCTCCACTTAGAAAGGAGCATCGGTTCAGTTGGTGCTTCCCCTGATCTCCACATACGGTCCGACAAAGGTGAAAATGGGCCTTTATGTGCCCAGAAGCTTCGGCACCACCTGAAACATTGATCAATCACGGATCTCAACTGCATGGAAGGCTCCAGACATGTACACGCACAGATACAGTGGTGCCTCGCAAGACGAAAATAATGCGTTCCACGAGTCTCTTCGTCTAGCGGATTTTTCGTCTTGCGAAGCACGGCTATTAGCAGCTTAGCGCTATTAGCGGTTTAGCGGCTATTAAAGGCTTAGCGACTTAGCGGCTAAAAGGCTATTAGCGGCTTAGAAAAAGGGGGGGAAAGCGAAAAAAATCGCAAGACTCGCAAGACGTTTTCGTCTTGCGAAGCAAGCCCATAGGGAAAATCGTCTTGCGAAGCAACTCAAAAACGGAAAACCCTTTCGTCTAGCGGGTTTTCGTCTTGCAAGGCATTCGTCTTGCGGGGCACCACTGTACCTAATTTTCACCTTTGCTTCAATGCATAGAGCTTGAGCCAGCCAGTGTAATTCTGCTTCCCCTCAAAATCACACTCCAGGTGTGAATCACATGCATATACAACTATTGTCCCTACTGAAAGACTGAACCGACAAGAGAACAGCACTGTTGTACAATACAGCCTGCCAATATCTGAAAGTCTGTGTGTTTAACTGCTTTGTTGAAGAGCCTTAGAGGTGACTGTTTCAAACAAATCATAGTTCATTTATGTTTGCAGCTTATATCCTCAAAATGAATACAGGCTGAAGCAGCAGACCAGCTTTTCCCCAGGAACTCAGTTTTCCAAATCTTTCTAAGCTCCATCTTCTCATTACACCTCAAGCATCCTTTTAGTAATTACAGGCTTTAGATTTTCCCTTCAAACGTTTACTAGAACTGGAATCAGTACAATTTTTTAAACTCTGTTCCCATATATTGAAGCAAGGAAAATGTAAGCAACTGTTATCTGAATGCACTTTGAGTTTTTGGACACTACCTCCATGAACCAAGTATGGAATGCAAAATTTCAGCACAGGAGACAACAGAAGGTTTGGTGGTGCTTTTGTTGAACAAGCAGAAAGACAGAAAAACTACTGACTATGTAATGAAGAACCAAATGCAAACATCAGGAACTTTAAAAATAAAATCAAGCTAGCATGTGGCAACATATACAGAAAAGGCATCAAAGTTTTGAGACAATCTCAGAAAGACAAGACTGATCATGAAATGAAACCTTGGGCTACTAATGAAGTCACAACCATTGCAAAAACTTTACTACTGAGTGTTTGGAACTGAAAATCCTGTGTCGAAATTTACTTATGAAAGGTACAAAAAATAAAAATAAAAATACAATGCAGCTGCAGTGATCCAAAAGGCATGCACAAGATATTTCTCTCTCTCTATATTTTCCTACATAACTGAGGCTAATTTGAATATTTAAATCAATAAGTAGTTGTGGCTATATAATGTAGTAAAGAAGAGTTTGATGTATAACATTTCTACCACTGTGCAAATTTCTGTTCAAGCTTTGGCACAGCAGAGCAGCTGCTAGTGGTTTCAGGCTTCCACTAAGATTTCAGAACACATAAACCTGAAAATCAGGAACAAGCAAATTTCACAGCACAGCGGAGCTCACTTAAACATTTATAAACACAGATTCTGTGTACCAGAAAGGATACAAGTGAAACACTGAACTTCTTCCAAGTAATAGCTTAACCTCTCAGTTAACTACACTCATTACATAGGTGTTTAGCAGCCATGTAGCATTGTAGAGCAATATTAATATTAGTAATAGTTTCAAACATGGCAAC